TATGTTGCTTGTGGCTATTGTAAAGGGTGATGTTTCTCTGATTTCTTTCTCTGCCTCTTTGTCGTCTGAAAAAAATAGGGCTACTGATTTTTTTTGAGTTTATCTTGTATCCTGCTAGTTTGCTGAAGGTGTTTATCAGCTGTAGGAGTTCCCTGGTAGAGTTTATTGGGTCGCTTATGTAAACTATCATATCATCTGCAAATAGAGACAGTTTGACTTCTTCCTTTCCAATTTGGATGCCCTTGATCTCCTTTTGTTGTCTTATAGCATTAGCTAGAACTTCTAGTACGATATTGAAGAGATATGGAGAGAGAGGACAGCCTTGTCTTGTTCCTGATTTTAGAGGAATTGGCTTAAGTTTCTCTCCATTCAGTTTGATGTTGGCAGTTGGTTTGCTGTATATTGCTCTTATTATGTTTAGGTATGTTCCTGTTATCCCTGACCTCTCTAATACCTTTATCATGAAAGGGTGTTGAATTTTATCGAAGGCTTTTTCTGCATCTAGGGAGATAATCATATGGTTTTTCTTTTTCAGTTTGTTTATATGGTGGATCACGTTGATAGATTTTCGTATGTTAAACCATCCCTGCAATCCAGGTATGAAGCCTACTTGATCATGGTGGATGATTTCTCTGATGTATTTTTGAATTCGGTTTGCCATTATTTTATTGAGTATTTTTGCATCGATGTTCATCAGGGATATTGGTCTGTAGTTTTCTTTCTTAGTTGTGTCTTTGTGAGGTTTGGGTACCAAAGTTATTGTGGCCTCATAAAAAGAGATTGGCAATAAACCTTCTGTTTCTATCTTGTGGAACAGTTTGAGGAGTAGTGGTATTAGTTCTTCCTTGAATGTCTGGTAGAATTCTGCACTGAATCCATCTGGCCCTGGACTTTTTTTCGTTGGAAGGCTTTCGATGACTGCTTCTATTTCATTTCGGGTTATAGGTCTATTTAAGTTGTTTGTCTGTTCTTGATTTAATTTTGGTAAGTGATAGTTATCCAGAAACTTGTCCATTTCCTTTGAATTTTCAATTTTTGTGGAATACAGATTTTCGAAGTATGACCTGAAAAGTCCCACAGTTCTTGTATGTTCTCTTTGTTTGGAGCTTCTTTTCTTTTTCTTTCAGTTTTGGAAATTTCTTTTACCATACCCTCAAGATTAGAGATTCTTTTTTTAGTCTCGTCCAGTCTGCTAATGAGCCACTCAGAGGCATCTGCATTTCCTCTGTAGTCTATTTGGATGTGAGCATTTTGTTTGTGTGTTTGTTTTTTTATCAGAATTTCATGCTTCTGCTTACATTATGTTCTGTTCTTGCATGTTACCTACTTTTTTCCATTAAAAATATGCTTTCAGGAGAGGCAGGTGATAAGGTTTTCTTTGTTCATCTATACCTTTCTTCTCTTGCCTAAAATAACTTTGCCTCTGTCAACTTTGAGCACCTAGAACCTAGTTATTATTATGGCATTGGTATAGGTTAGTTAACTTACTAGTCCTGTAAAATAGAAATAAAACTTAATTGAGGATAATTTTGCCATAGAAGCTTATCTTGAGTAACCCAATTCTCCTTCCTGTCAGCACCATAGCTGTCACTGTCCTTATTCCTGTTCTAACACAATTCTTACATTTAACATCTTTGTATGCTGTTGTTCTAGTCTCAAAGTTTCCTAGTATGTATCTCTGAGTTGTATGCTATAGTTCTTCTATTGTTAATGTAGGGCAATGTTTTCCTGATACTAGGTGCTCTACCTTTGCAACTGGATTCTTTTTTTTTTTTTTTTTTTTTTCTCTTGTTGTTTAGTTATTCCTTTTTTGGTTTGTTTTGTTTTTAGACAGGCTGTCTTAGTCACTGTTATATTGCTATGAAGAAACACCATAAACATGTCAATTCTTATAAAGGAAAATATTTTATTGGGGCTGGCTTACAGTTTCAGAGATTTAGTCCATCAACATCATGGTGGGAAGCATGGCACCAATCAGGCAGACATGGTGCTAGAGAATTCTACATCTGGATCCACACACAGCAGGAGAGAGTAGCCACTGGGCTTGGCTTGAACTTCTGAACCTCACAGCCCACCCCATGACATACTTCCTACAACAAGGCCACATATCCTTTGAAATAGTGCCACTCACTATGAGCCAATGGGGACTATTTTCATTCAAAACACTACACAGTGTCTCTACATAGCCCTGGTTGTCCTTCACTTTGTAGACCAAGTTGTCCTTTAACTCACAGAGATCTGCCTGCCTCTGCTTCCTGAGTGCTGAGTTTAAAAGCATGTGCCACCACACCTGGCCACTGCATCTGAAGTCTTTCTAGAGTTTAATGAGAAGAATGAATAAGTGAATTATTTTCTCCTTGCCCCTGTGAGCCTTCTATATTACTTTGTGCCTACAGTTTAGCAGTTTTACTACTTTAAGAAAAGCAAAAATGAGAATCTGAGCACCAATACATAAGAATGTGTATTATAGATTATCCAGGGCATATGTGAAGTTGAAAAAGTTTTGTAATATGTATACAAAATAAGTATGATTTCTAGGTTTTTAATGTAAGCCATAGAATTACTCAAAATGATTTATTTTTATTAGTTAAACTTTGTATCCTGGAAATCTGTTTTAGTCACTGTTATAGTTAGGTGACTGTTGTTGTGATGAACACCATGACCAAAGCAACATGGGGAGGAAAGTGTTTAGTCATCGTACATTTCCACATCACAGTTCATCATCAAAGGAAGGCAGGGCAGGAACCTGGAGGCAGATGCTTGTGTAGAGGCCATAGAGGGGTGCTGCTTATTTTCTTCTCCCCATGGCTTGCTCAGCCTGCTTTGTTAAAGAACCTAGGACCACCAACACAGGGATAGTACCACCCAACTGTGGGTTGGGCCCTCCCCATCTACCACTATTTAAGAAAATGCCTTACAACTGGATTTTATGGAGTCATTTTCTCAATTGAGGCTGCCTCTGTGATGATTCTAGCTTGTGTCAAGCTGACATCAAAGCAGCTAGTACAATTATCTTTACATCTTCACGGGTTGATAATATTATGACAGATAGTTGACACTTAATAATTCTTTGTTTAATAAATCAGAAAAAGAGAGAAATCATGTTTAAATAATTAAAAATTTTAAGTGTGTTTGAAAGCAGCCAGTTATATAAGCCAGCTTAATTAAACAACTAAGGAAATAGCTGTTGGATGAAACTGTGCTTTTAACTACATTAAGCAGATAATGTTGTGTATACATAAGCAGTGTGAAAATCTATAAATCAAGGCTGCTATACATGTGATCATGGTTTTTTTTTGTGAGGTACTGTGCAATAATTCTAATATTTGGTACTTGGCCTGTTACACTGGTCAATACTATGCAGACCATGTCTTGGAATGGCAAATTAAACATGTTTTACTTGAAGGTCAACATGAAGGTCGAAGTCAGTGCCATCATATGCAAAGCAGAGAGGTTGGGGTTGTATCTAATTGCAGGTGGTGGTGTATGCTTCACCACCACCCTCAAAAAGAACCTCATCAAGTAGCCATTCATTTCAGATGACATGTCCCAGTATGACACATAATACTTTGCCTACCCTCTTTGAGCTCAGGTTCACATAAACAGGGAAGTAGCAGAGCAGGATACTGGCTTACCAGGATATTTGCAGAGGCATGCTGAATTCAGACCAGATGCCCTTAATTGATCTCAGTTTTATAGTGTATACTAATATGTCTGCGAGAGGATAGCATATGTGCACTTCAGAGGCATGAGCTAATCTGTTGTTATTACAACCTACTCAAGCTAACATAGCTTGGGTTTCAGAAATGTTATGTGGATCTACAGTAACCACCTGGGATAGCTGAACATCATCGTAATTGGCTCTTAAACCAGTTATAGATATTACCTAATCCTAGAAAATTCCTGTGATGGAAGTTCCAAAGAATTTCTTTTAAATAATATGTAAGGTAAAGGACTTTAGACTACTATCATTCATGAGGATATAATATGGTAAATTTTAGATTTTTCTTTTCAAGGATTTACTTTTAATGTGTATATGGGTAAGTGCAGGTTCCTGTGAAAGGCATCGGTGTTAAATCCCCTGGAGTTGGAATTACTGGTGGTTTTGAGCCATCGCACATCCGTGCTAGGAATGGAATTTAGGTTGTATATAAAAGTAGCCTCTGAGTCATCTCTCCAGCCTCAGGTTTTAAACTTTTACAGCTATATTTCTTATTTAAAATAGTTTTATGTTTCAGTTGTTGCTTTAAAAAAATTGAAGAAATGCTTATTTGTAGAATGAAAATTAGAAGTTTTAAAATATTCTTGGGAAATCTTAACAGAAAAGGCATTATTTCATGAGTTTTTCCCCCAAAACATAACTTATTGTCCCCCACAAAAGCTACAGGAAGTTTATATGCCATGCTAGCCACAGTCTAAGTAAAATCAGACAGTAACTTGCTCATCTGTCTTACTCTTCTCCAGATTTAACCCCACTTGATGTTGTGCTATGAATTCCCTGATTACTGGAGCTGGATTATTTGCTTGCATGTTTGTTTCTACCTACCATATTTATCATGATAACTAACACAACATTTAGTAAATGTTCAATAAATGTTTATCACTTTTTAATTTGCTAACATGTTTATATTCTTTCATAATTGTCAGCAAAAGATGCCAAAATATTAAAGGGAAAAAATTAAAGCCAATAACTGGTGTTACTTTCGTCCTAACTTGCCATTTTACTGTATGTAAAGTACATCATATGAACATAAAATGAACCTTGTCAAGATTTTGAAGTAGTGTAAGATTTTACTTACTTAAAAAATAATATGATTGAGACAGTAGAGACCAATATATGCGCGCGCGCCCACACACACACTAATTTCTGCTTTACAGAGAACGTCCTTATTTTGTTTCTGCTTTCATGTTCTACAAGGAAAAAGAAGCAAATTATAAGTATTATTTAAATTTGGAACTTAATGCTCAAAATGGCTAACTCTGTGATTTGTCCACAATAGGCAAAAAGGACAGCTAGCTGTAGAGAGAGCTAAGCAAGTAGAAGAATTCCTACAGCGTAAACGAGAAGCTATGCAGAACAAAGCCCGAGCTGAAGGACATGTGGTATGATATTTTTTCTTGAGTTTTGAACCTATGAATATTAAAAGTTAAGATCTGGAATATTGCAAGTAAAAAGAGTTATTATATAGTGGTCTGTGTATAATAAAAGATACTGAAGTTGTTCAAAAGTAATGTACAGATTATGTTTTCATATATCTTGTTTATTAACCTGTTTTCTGATATCCTATATTGGTATCTTTTATGCCAAAGGTGAAATTGCATCATTATTTTGTTCTTTAAAAAGGGTAGAAATGGGTATGACAATCTAGATGTTAGAAAAATAAGTTCTTAAATTGCTAGGTTTTTTTCCTAATATACTTTTTGCTTTCAATACTTTTAAGTAGCAAAGAATTTTTAGAAAAATAAAGGGGAAATAGATGTTTGAGTGTAGACATATAAAACTGCATTTATTGAAACGTATATTAGAAATTTAATTACTTTAAAACATCCAGTTAAGCCAAATACAAAGTTAAGTCATTTATCTAAGACTTAAGTTATTAAGTTAACTTAACTTATTAAGTTTTGAGGTAATCATCTAAATAGTTGAAATTCTCAATAGTTCTCAGTTGTAGTAGGCCCCAAATGTCTTTTGATCTTTTGTTTATAAAGCAACTGAGGATTGCTTCTGACAGTTCATCTCCCTGTAGAGCCTTCTGTTCATGTAAGATATGCTTCAAGGTATTTTGTTAGACTTATTACACATGTATTAAAGGCTCACAATTGGTGACTTTGTAAGTTTATTAAGTTATTCATTATATGATTTTTTTCCCATTAAGATTATATTATAGGAAAATGGTTAAAAGCTCAGTTGACCGATCATTCTGTTTTTAACACACATTCTCCAATTTACTCAATTTACTGTCTTAGTATCTGAAATGAATCTGTATTTTTGACATTTCTGTGGGTAGGAAAAGATAATTTCTTGCCTTCTCCCTTTTAATAGCATCTGAAATAATTTTTTTATTGCTTTTTATTTATTTATTTAAGGGCTTTTAAACTGCTCTGTAGCCTAGGCTGGCATCTGTAACTTGAGTTCCTCATACCTGACTGAGTATAGGAATTATAAGTATGGACCACCATTCCCAGCTCTGTATTATTTAAAACAGTTACTGGGAACAGGAGATGGTTCAGCAGTTAAGAGTGCTTGCTGCTCTTGAGGAGTTAGGTTCTCAGAACTCACTACAGCTCCAGGGATCTGACACCCTCTTCTGGCCTCTTCAGTGCCTGCACTCACTTGTATATATCCACAGACAGATACACATACTCATAATTTAAAGTAAAATTTAAAGAACCTTTTAAAAAGTAATAGTTACTAGATCAATATTTAATGACTTTTCCCCTTACTGTTTTCCCTTAATCCTGTGATTCTATTCATCAGTTTATCTTGCTTAATGTTGGAGAATTTCTTCTTGTATTTTGTTTAAAAAGACTGCAAAATTTGTTGAGAAAATGCCTTTATTTTTTCCCTTACACATCAATAATACTTTGTGGTGAATTTAACCTGTGTAGATCTGAAAAACATTTTGCCTGTTTTTTTTTTTGGGGGGGCTTTTCATGGATATGTAGCATATGGGTATGGGACAGCACATGTGTGTCGGGTATGTCTGGAGGCCCAAGTTATCAGGAGTCTTTGAAAACTCTCTGCCTTATTCTTTGAAGCAGTATGTCTAGTCTTTCTTTCAGTGGAGCCCAGAGCTGGCCTATGGTATGTCTAGTCTTGGCAGCCTGCATGCTCCAGGGATTCCTTAGTCTCCTTTCCCATCTGTGCTCTCAAGCAGGCTGCCACACCCACCTGACACTGACTTGGATGATAGAAGTCACACTGGTTCTCTTCCTATATGGCAAGTGCTTTGACTATTAAGCCATCTCCTTAGCTTGAGTTCATCATTGTTTTTGACAAACATCTTAGCTGGGGTTTTCTATAGGTTGAGGACTGCTTATCTTCTCAACGTTATTTTATAAGTTGAGGACTGCTTATCTTCTGAGCTAAGGGTATTCTATGGGTTGAGGGCTGCTTATTTTCTGAGCTAAGTGTATTCTATAGGTTGAAGGCAGCTTATCTTCTGAGCTAAGGGTATTACATAGGTTGAGGACTGCTTATCTTCTGACATGCCTGTTTCTGACAGCAAGCTGTCATTCTTTATCTTTTCTTACATACATCATATGCCCTTTCATCTTAGACTCACAGAAGCTTTTTCTTTGTGCCTGGAAGCAATTTGATTATTAGAAAACTCCTGAGTTTTCTTCCTGTTCATTAGTTTCCTGGGTGTGTAAGTTCAAATTTTTCAGGCACTGTTTCTTGAAAATGTGTTTTCTTCCTTTCCTTGTTTTAGAGCATTGGTAAGCATAGTAGACCGCTTGTGACCCTCTACCACTCACTGGTGCTTTTTCACTTTTTCTCTTTGTGATTCTGGATGGTTTCTGTTCTTCTGTCCTTAAGGACTTTGACCTTCTGCTGTGGATTATGCTGCTGCTCTCATCCAGACCTAATATGGTTCTTGTCATATTTTCGTTTTGTTTTTGCAGTGCTAGAGATAAAACTCAGAACTTCTTATATATAGGCTATTGCTGTACTACTGAGTTCTACTTCAGCTCATATACTGTAGTTTTACATCTCTTAATATTGACTTGGGTGTTTTCATTCTTCTAGTTTCTGTCTTTACAACACTCAGTACCTTGAAAATATAGACTGTCATTATAATAGCTGTTTGAATTTTGTCATCTACAAATTGTCTTCTCTGCTGTTTCTGAGTCTCTGTTAATTAAGGTCGTATTAAAAAATCTTTTTCTATTTTTGATAGGCCTAATAATATGTATTACTATGTCAAGCGCTATGTACTTTATTTTCCAGTGTTTTCTATTCTTTAAATATTTGGGGGATTTAGTTAATTATATTTACAAGTAATTTGAGTCACGGAAAGCTGATTTTCAAGGTTCCCTGAAGCTTTAAGGAACAGTGTTCTCCCTCGTGCTGACTTGGTACCTCTGCTGGGTACAGTGCCTTACTGGTTGTATTTCCTATCTGGCTGCTGGAAACATGAAATACCACAGCTCTTGGTCACTCAATAAGAAACCCTGAAGAATCTCTCCATCTTCTCAGCACTGTCTGTGCAGCTTTCTCTAATTTGCTCTCTGACCACAAATTCCAGCAACTTTCAGCTTGTCAATCTCCAAACAATGACTGTCTCAACTAGGCAAGACCTTCCTGCTCTGTTTGCTTTTCCTTTCTTGTGCTGCTGCTTAGAAGCTCTGGCCAGACACGAAGTGGAGCAATCATCAGGCTCAGGCTTAACCTCCCTTGCTTCCCCTTCTCCAGTACTTGAAAACCATGTTTTCTTGTATCTAACCCAAAGTTTAAAAAAAAAAAAATTATGTTGATCTAATCACATTATTCTGTCATAGCTATAAGAAATTCTTTGATTTAAAAAAAGTTTTACTAGAATTTCATACATGTACACAATAAAATATGATCATATCTATCTCCCATCACCTCTGTATTTACCTTATATCTCCCTAATGTACCCTCCCAACTTTGTCTTTTTTAGACCCTCTAAATCCAGCTAGTGTTGCCCATATGTGCATGAGTGTCGGGCCCTCTAGTGGAACATGGGAAACCTATCGATGACTGTATACCCTCAATAAAGAATGAGTCTCTCTTCACCAGCAACTCTTTTTTCTATTGACTTTATTCATTTATTTACTTAGTTACTATTTTTAATTTTATTTAATTAACATTTTCTTTCATTTATTTTACGTACTGACCTCGCCCCCCCCCACCCTGCTGCCTTGTCTTCCTGTTCCCTCCTCCCGACTGTCATCTATGAACCCCACCCCCACCCCATCGATGTCTGCATCTCCATTCAGAAAGGGGCAGGCCTCCTGTGAGCTTGAACAAAGCAGGGCACATCAAATTGAGGCAGGACAGAGCTCCTCCCCTGCATCAAGGCAGGTTGAGATATGATGCCTTTAAGCTGCTGTTTCTCTGATCACTCTTAGGCCTATTTTTCTACCCTTGAAATTCTGAAATTTCACTTGATTGTTTTTCAGTTGTTTGTCTTGTTTTATTTTTTCTTTGACTTGATACAGGTTCTCGCTGATATATGTAGCTCTCAGTATATATGATTACATTCAGTCCTGGGGATAATCTCACTGATGGGCTCCCTAATTACTGTTTCTCTAAATACTTTACCTTTTCAGGAAAACTGCTCTCAACTGAGATAATAAGCTTTGTACTTAAAGTTCTTTCTTTTGGTGTTTTGTTTCTTCTGTTCTGTCCTTCCCCTCATTTCTACTTTGTTTTCCCAGCTCACTGATACACTTAGCTCTCCCCTCATCTGTTCAGTATGTTTGTACTTTAAAACTTTCTGCTTGTGTGTTTGTAGATTCTAATTTATTTTCCCATTAAGCTCCTTTGTTGTATTATTTCCCTGGTGTTTCTGATGTCATCTTATTCTTGGTGATACTGGCTGTGCTACCTTGGTTCCTTTAGCTTTAACATGTGTTAGCTGTTCCCTGGTATTAGCAGTCCTTAGATGCTCATTGTTATAACAGTATGTGCTGTTATACTTTCCTATAACTATAGCTGTTACCTTTCCTGTGAACACTGTCCAGGGAGAACCTTTCCAGGGAGAACAGATGAAGGGGATATACTACTGGAGATGACCCTCTTACTGTAACCATTCGTACTTACTGTGGAGCATGCTCACATCCTCTGTCACCATAGTCTCTTTCTGACATACTTTTCCTTCTGTAGGTTTCACATTTGAACATTCCATACTATTTAATTCCTTTTGCCTTTGCAGAACCAGCCTAAATCCTTACTTGTTTTGAATTTTTAATGCTAATATGCACTCCCATAAAAAGACACCCTTTCTCTTTGTCCGCAGTACTGTCCAGAAACAAATGCAAAATCACATTACTTTTAATCTAAGACTGTATAAGAAGTGGATCTGTGTTGTTTGCAACCAGAAATTGGTAAATTTGGGCCTGGAGGGATAGTTCAG